GTACTCGTCCTTGCGCGTCAGACGCCGCCCTTGGTTGTGTCCCTGTCGACTGAGGACCATTCTCAGCCAGTACTGGTCAATGTGAAGAATGGCGTAGTAGCGCCAGGTGCGTTGAATTAGGTTTGCCGCTGGATTCAGACAGAGAATCTTCTGGCGACTGTCCTGCAAACGCAGCGCCACGGCCGAGCCGATGATGGAGCTAGGAAGGGAGAAGACAGTGTAGCCACAGAGGACAAAGGCGGCAATGAACAGCTTGCTGATAGGCAGTGTGATCTCCACATCGCCATAGCCAATGGTGGCCAGGGAGATGAAGCTGAACCAGGCAGCGTCAAAGAGTGAGCTGATGCTGTCGTTGCAGTACAGCTCAAAAATGTAAATGCTGTAGGTAGCCACTGTGAGGACGATAGTGTAGAGGACCATGGCCATGACAAGAAGTGTCGCATTCTCCTGCACCACCGAGATAAAGTGCTTCAGCGTGGGGTTGAAGATGCGATAAGCCTGAAAGAGCAACAGAAAGTGCAGTATTCGAATGGTGGCCGCAATGGGACGGTTGGAGATTGGCCCAGCAATGACCAGAAAGGTGAGCAGTGTTGTGCAGAAGCCGTCATTTATTCGGGAGATTGCGTTCCGGCGGAGGTGACGAAGAAGGGCGTGCATTAGGTCGTAGTTGACGTTGCAGTTGACGACAAAGAGGCGTAGTATCCACTCGATGACTAGAATCGTCAGCAGAGTCGTGTCCCAGAAGGCAATTATGTGTGTCAACTGGCGACGCTTTACATCCGCCATGCCAAAGTCCAAGGCCATGTTCAGGCAGAAGCAGTTGATGAAGAGCATCAGGAGGAGTACGAGGTGGTAGAGGTAGTAGAAGCCAGCTGGCAAGTGCAGACCACAGTAGATCTTAACTTTAAACTGATGCATCAAACTTTGATTGCAAATGAGACTATGATCGGCAAAACTGATGGAAGATTGATTCCTGCTGCCTGATTGCCGCAACTTCATCTTTGATCGACAAAGAGATTGGTCTAAAAATAAAAACATGCATTTTTTTCTTTTAACCAACTTTTGTACTTTTAGAACTTTTAAAAAGTAATTTTAATTAAATTTATCGAGTTACTGTACTGATCTGTACTAATAAAAGTTCAAGTGGTTGTACACCTTTGATAATGAATCTCTCCTTGAATGGTAAAATTATTCCAAACATTTTTAAACGACATGCATAACGTACTATACGAGTGTCAGCATTTTTCCAAAGTTTGTTTTTGTGCAACTTTTGCAGAAAACACATGTGATAATCTTGTGCCGATCTACTGACCAGGCCAAGTTCATCTCCGGCTTGAAGATGCTATCTAAGCTGGACCTCATTTCTCGTATTGTTTCAAAGTCGCAGATCAACGTAGCAATCAAATCCGCCTTTGCTGCTCCTGCTAAAGTTGCTGGCGGCCAAGCAGTCGGCAAAAAACGATTTCGTCTACCGGTGGAGCAAGATGTGTCCAAGCTGATGGCCAATTGCTGCGGTGCCAACTATCGCAAAGACGGCGAGGAAATCAAGTTGAAAGATGATTCAGAATACCCTGAGTGGCTTTGGAAGATGCCTCTTAAGCCACGACGACTGGAAGAGTACGATCCAGCGACCAAAGAGTACTGGGAAAGGGCCGAAGTGGTTGGAAGACAACGGGAATACAAACTGAAGAGTTTGGCACCGGTAAGTTTCATTTCATTTCATTTTTATTTTGGAATATAACTGGGGTTTTTTCAGAAAAACGTAATGATCATCAACAACAGGATGGTAAAGGACATGGAACTTAAATACCGCCGACGTTTTCGAGCTCTCGCCAAGTATCACTACAACGCTGGCTATGATATCATTGAACACCACGAGCGTGATGATGTCTGGAATATGCACATGAAAGAACGGTACGCTTTGCCTAATACACCAGAAAAGCATTTCTACCCTGGAATCGACAAAGTTAATTTGCCCGTTTCCGTTTCCAAACAACTCCGCTTTAGAAAGTACCCCAAAGTCGGTCACTTTGGCTTATAAATAAATTCAATATAGTTTATACTTGTTTTAGTTTTTTATTGCAATTTATCAAATTAACAAAATACAAAAAATCAAATAAAACTGGGTCCACTTACCTGCAAGAAAAAATAAATCAAATTAGTCGATGCAACAATAAAAAAGGTAAAAGCTTTCAAATGTGAATCAGTTTAGAGATTCTCTACAAATTATGATTTAGAATAGCGTATTTGATTCATCACCAGAAGCAAAGAGAAATGGCAAATGATAAAGATTCGTTACCTTCAAATGATGGTCTTCGAAAACGGCATGGTGGGAAGTCGAGATCATCTGTAAAAAATATTAAAAAATTAATCTACTGTTTGGCCGATGTCTAAACAAGCAAAACACAAATGTACACTATTTTGTAGTCAGATAAGGGACAAATTGAGTTTTTCTAATCAGAATTGATTCATTACTCTAGCCTATCTCAAATTCATCACGCAGTTTACAGAGTAAACTAGTGAATAACAAAGTCACATACCTTAAAACTGCCAAAAGTATAGCTGTAACACAAGTTATCTGTAAAAGAAAACCTCAAATTAGTAAATTTTTCACAAAAAGGCAATTAAGTAAAAAATAAGAAGAATGATCAGTAAAGGTAACTTGTTATTCCGCATTATTGTCTGGGAAGGTGTCCTAAGTTTGTCATCATTTCGCTAAAGCTCAAAATACAAAAGTTTAAACACTTACATTATGTGCCGGAGACATTGCTAGACCAAACTGTTGACCAATTAACAATCTGCACAAAAAAGCACTGGTTAGCAAACTGAAAAANATTCGCTAAAGCTCAAAATACAAAAGTTTAAACACTTACATTATGTGCCGGAGACATTGGTAGACCAAACTGTTGACCAGTTAAAAATCTGCACACAAAAAACGATGGTTAGTAAATTGAAAAAATACAAACTTTTAAGTGAACAAGAATTAGCAGATCAGTAAAGGTAACTTTTTGTTCCGCATTATTTTCTGGGAAGGTGTCCTAAGTTTGTCATCATTTGCTAACACTAAAAATACGAAAATTGAAACACTTACATTATGAGCTTGAAAAATGGAAGACCACACTGATGACCAATTAACAATCTGCACAAAAAAGCACTGGTTAGCAAACTGAAAAAATAAAAATTTTAAAGTAGACAAGAATCAGCTAATCAGTAAAGGTAACTTTTTGTTCCGCATTATTTTCTGGGAAGGTGTCCTAAGTTTGTCATCATATTCTAACACTAAAACTAAACTAATTTCAAAAATGCATACCTTGTTTGGCCGTTTCGGTTGGTGAATAGTGTGCGAGAAGTGTCTCCATTCTGAAATAAATCAAAGACAACAATCAGAATACAAAGTGCGAAAACGATTGAATGATGAGCACACTGATATCGATCAGAATATAAAGTTATATCACTTTGACTCATAAAAGATGTCAGAAATAATAAATAAAATGCACATCATTGTGATAAAACAGCCGCAAGTTACAGATGGTTTAACTTACGAAAATCTGAAAATAGAAAAGGATTTGAATTAATACTTAAGAAATGTAATTGTTTGATATAAAACATGTGAAGAATCAGGAAGGGACAATTGAGTTTTATATAATCAGTGATTATCATTACTCTAGCCTATCTCAAATTCATCATTTGCAAAAGAAGCAAAAAAATTAAAAGTTTAACTTACCAAAGGAGAAAAGCCTGAAGACGTCTGTTCTTGTTCAGGTGAGGATTGAAAATGAATGGGGATCCGCCGGATTCTTTAACTCGCACGTGGGCTAAGGGGGCTATTTTAAGAGAGCACATTACCAATTTGAGCCGTAGTAATAAAATAGTCGCTTATAAAGCTCCGCCCTCCAGTCGCAGACTTGTTTTTGTGATTTTTGCCGGGATATCGCGCGTTCCCAACTTTGAAAATCATCAGAAATGAACATGAATCGAGAACACCTTTACTCTCTACTTAACTACAAANAAAAGCCTGAAGACGTCTGTTCTTGTTCAGGTGAGGATTGAAAATGAATGGGGATCCGCCGGATTCTTTAACTCGCACGTGGGCTAAGGGGGCTATTTTAAGAGAGCACATTACCAATTTGAGCCGTAGTAATAAAATAGTCGCTTATAAAGCTCCGCCCTCCAGTCGCAGACTTGTTTTTGTGATTTTTGCCGGGATATCGCGCGTTCCCAACTTTGAAAATCATCAGAAATGAACATGAATCGAGAACACCTTTACTCTCTACTTAACTACAAGGTTTCCGTTACGAGCCACTCCAAACTTCAAGAAGGGTATTTGGTGTCAGTTGATCCTGTCACATTGACCATCGTTTTGTACGATGACATCAAAGAATCTTTAACTATGATTTTGCATCATGCGATCAAGTCGATTGAAAAGTGCGATCAACAGATTAAAAGCTTTGAATTCAAAAAGTTTTGTTCAAACTTTTTTGGTAAAGTTGGAGAGGCGGCAAAAACGTTTACTGCTGAAGAACTACAAGAAAGGAGGCAACGAGTGCTTGATTTGCTGCACTCAAACAATGTGCCTGTTGAGGACCAGGATGATCTGCTAATTGCTGCTTACTCGGTGTCAATCACTCCACCATACACTGAACTGGACTGCCAGTCAACGAACGCAGTTGTTCTTATGCGAATTCAAAACATCATTAAGCAAGAAACACAAAGGTAACATATTTTTAATTTATTTATTATTTGACATTGTGAAAACCTTTCAATAAATATAATTTGGTGCGCTTGTTGAAATGTTCAGCGGAAGTGCTTTATAAAGAAGTGAGTGAGTGGTCCCTGGACATTATCGGGAATCACAAGAGTACCAGGCTATTGCTGGTAAGAAGAATATGGTGTGTTGATAGCATTAAATTCATTAAATCTCTAAATTCTATTAACAGTTGACGGTGAACGGAATATTTTTGGTCTGAGTGGACAGAAGATAGACTTGTTTGAAGTTCGGCCTAATGAAGAAACCTGATGGACATCTTCTCTTCAACGTCAGTACGCTCCAGCGTTTTACAGAACTCAGAGAATGTGATGCACTGGTCGCCGTCCTTGTCCGCCTCCATGATCGTTCGGTCGGCAATGTTGGCCAGCTGCTCGGTGGAGATGTTCGAACCGACCATCATATGAAGAACCGAGAGGAGTTCATCGCGGCTGATCTTCTCATCGCCGTCCAGGTCGTACATTTTAAAGGCAAAGCGAAGCTTATCCTCACGCGAGTTAAGTTTAGACTCGCGATTCTTTTTGATGGGTCTGAAGCTGGCTAGTACTCGCATAAACTGGCGAAAGTTAATTCGCTCATCGTATGATTCATTTTCAGTGAAGAACGCCTGAACAATGCGGTCTCCGAGTGGGTTGATCGCCAATTCGGGAATTCGCAAAAAGTCCTCCCGACCTAAAGTGCCATTGTCGCCCTTGTCCAGGCTGGTGAATCTACTGTACAGTCGTTCAATTTGTGATGCACTGACTGTTGAGGATGAGAAGGAAAAGGTTATAAAGTTGTAAACACCAAATTCACCTGCTCAAAAACTTACAGCCAGTCTCATTTTGGATGGCGCTAATTTCTTCATCCTGCAGCATCAGCGACGACTTATTGCCCATGGTTAGAGTGGTGCCTATGTGTGCTCTGGTGGTCAAGATCGGGTGAACACGTAAAACAGCCCAGTGGCAGCAAGTGGGTAATCAGCGAAAGTGGGTAAGAGAACGAGACGACGAGACGACGGCAGCTCGAGCTGAAGACACTGCTGATGGGGCTGATGAAGATGGTGCCAGTGCTGGTGGGAAGTGTATGAATGCAGGCGATTGTTGTGAGTAGGTACACACTGTCGTCGGCTCGATCGGTACGACTGGCTGGTGGTGGTGAGGCAGTGTGGCCAGCAGTCGATAGGGAGAAGACACCACACATCAGCTCGTGCACTTTGCAGTTCGAGTCCGTCAAGGCAATCAGATGGAGTCGGTGCAGCACACAGCCAGTAAAGAGAGCACTTCTCCCCCAAATAGACAACTGTACAAACATGCGCGCTCAACAGTGGTACACAGAACGGTTTTAATGGTTTAACGGTTCAATAAAATGTTTTATAAGAATTACAATGGACAAGTATAAAAGAGATTGAGAGTAAAGGAGACTACTTATTCAAATTACTAGTGAGAATCTTCACTTTGCCAGGCATATTTCGGCCCATTTCCGTGTCCTTCAGCGCCTTCAACAAGTCCCGCTCTCGCTCAGTGGCCAGCTTTTCCTTGAGAAAGATCGACAGTGCAGTCTTTGAAGCGGGACCGCGTCGGGTGTTACCGGGAATGATTTTCACTTTGTACTTGTAGGCATTCATCGCCGAATAGGAGCCACAAACGGGAATAGCATACAGAAGCTGGTCTTCAGGGTTGGGACTGTGCACCAAAGAGTTGAGGATTTTCCTGGCGTCCAGTTCACGCTGCTTTGGGTCGGCCACTGCACCTTCATTCTCCTCATCGTCTTCCTCTTGTTCTTCGAGCACTTCCTGCTCGCCGCCTTCCGGAACCGAAGCTTCAGTAGCTTCACTTTCTTTCTCCTGTTGGGCTGCTACTGGCTCCATCACTTCCACTGGTTCAGGTTTTTCTGCTGGTTTTTCTGCCGGTTTTTCCACGACTTCCTCCTCCTTGACTGCACCGCCTTTTTTGGCTTTCTTCTTCTCAGCTCGTTTGTTCTGTTTCGCCTGTTTCTCCGATTTTTTCACCGTCTTCTGATCAAATACTTTAACCTTTTTCACCGCTACACCAGTAGTCACAATGGTGTAGTCGCTTTCAGCTTTTGAAGTTGTATTATCTTCACTGACGGAATCACGTGTGAGGGGAATCGCAGTATCGGGAAATGCTCCATCGTCGTCCTCTTCATTACTCGCTACAGGCGATCGATTCCAGTTCTCCTCTTTCACCGCTTCCTCTTTGATCACCTTCTGACGCCTGTCAATGCTCTCCTCGTCAATTCGAAAGAGAATCCCAAAACCAAGAATCAAATTTTGCAATGGAATAAAGTTCTTCTTGCCACGAATCATAAATGAGCCCACTGACAAGTACTGACCGCTGGGAGCCGTTTTCTGCACCTGATGCGAATAGACCCAGTAGGCGGCAGAGACGACTTTCGCTTCCCAAGAGGCGCTGAAGCAGATGGCCAGGTTTGCTGCCTCATTCAGCGTCTTTGGGGGTATCTCCGCGTCAGTGTGGTTCTTGATCACCACCGAGGAGGCACCGTGGATGTCTGCGTGCACGTAAATGTCATCCTTGTCTAGGTGCCTCTTCACAATCACCTCATTCTGCTGGGCGTCTCGTCCGGCGATCACTAGGTAGCCTTCGGAGCTGATGAACCAGAAGAACTTTTCAAACCAAAGCACCTTCCGTGCCAAAACAATGTTTGTCTTTATGGTCGTTTCCTTCAGCTGTTGTTTCACTTTGCGTTCCACATTTTTGAACGCCTTTTCGGTGTGGTCGATTGTCTTTTGCTCCTTCTTTGCGGCATCTTTTCGGTGTTCGTAGAACCGACGAGCATTGGCGTATGCGGAAAGACCAATGTCAATTTCTATCAGCTTTGAGTTTCCCTTCGTTTCAGTTTCATATGGGTCGTCAAGGCTCATCACAAAGCTGTTTTTGTCAAGTTTGAGATCCTTAATCTTCGAGGCAATCAAATCACCGTTGTCCTGTGCATCTCGAACAATTTCAGAAATCATCTCCCAGGAGTATTTGTTGGCTATAGCACTTCGCAGAACCGATATGGCTCCATCCACAAGCTCGATATTGCTTTCAATTAGCTGCGCCTTCTCGTTGTCCACTTCTTGCATTTTGGACAGGTTCTCCAAACGAGCTTCATGATCTCTTTTAATAGCGTCGAGCTTTTTCATAGCATGTTTTTCCTGTTGAACGACTTTTGACTCAATCTTTTGTCCTTCAATTTTGGAGTAAAACAAATCCACAGCCTGGTTAAAACTTTCATATTCCTCAAACGAAGCCTTTTCATTGATGTACTGAGTAAATAGATATGGCTGAAAATCGTCGTAGGTGGTCAATTGCTCCTCGGAGTTGGGACGCTTCTCGATTTTTGTAATAATGTATCCTTTTGTGCAGTTATTACGAAAGAAGTCCACTTGGCTTTCAGCGTAAGCAAATACTTTCTCGAGTAGCTCAATGTCTTCTTTGGTAACTTTGAACTTGTTAACATTGGTGTCTTTGAAATGCAGCAAGCAATGTTCAAGCAAAGAAGTTCCATAGGGGAAGATGGGATTGAAAAGCTTCTTAAAATTTGTGTCTTTTGCATCGGCAATAATTTGCTCAATTTTCTGACGAGAGATGATGTCCTGGCCGGCAATGTACACTTGCTTGTTGATAGGATACTTTTCACGAACAGCAATGTTGATGTTGGTTTTGTTGTCCATGTAGACGCGAACCAGACTGAGGATGTTGTAATCTTTATCCGTAAGAATAATGTTTCCTTTGCTGTAAAATTCCACAATCACATGGCAGGTAAATTCGTTTATGCCGAACTGCATATCAATGACTCGATCAACGCCGATCTGGTTGATGCTTTCCAGACGCTTATTGCGAAGGTGTTTTCGCAGTTTCATCGTAAAACCTGACGGATTGTCATTCTTCGGCCAGTTGAACTCCGTCAGATGCAGTCGATTGCCTGACTCAATGATCAACATCTGCTTCAGGCTTTCCTCATCCGATGTCTCATTCCCGGTTTTGGCAAAACGAAAAATAAACGTTTTGGTGTCGACGTCATAGATTTGGTTGACTCGAGTGCCAAGCAGCTTATTGCGAATTTCCGGGAGAATCGCAATTATATCTAAAGTTGAAAATCGGAGTTTCATTTTTCAAAGCTGTGTTGAGTCGGTGCTAGGACAGAATATCTGGGTTCCAGATTCTGGAAGTGATGATGAGGCAATCGAGTGAAAAAATCGTAAACAAGAGAAGCCGACACTATTTCAACAGCAATCAGTTGAAGCTGCTACCAACAAAGTGTCGGCAAAAAAACTTCAATCAAATCAAATCAAAGCTTTCTTTGAATGTAACCCAAACTTAAAGAATGTCAAAGAGAAAGTTAGAAGAAGAAGAAGAAGTGGTCGAGTCGGAAGAAGATGACAAGCTTTACCTGAACCGAAAAGTCGATGAGCGAAGTCACCAGTGTCCATACCTGGATACGATTAATCGAGGCGTGCTGGATTTTGATTTTGAAAAGTTGTGCTCAATTTCCCTTTCAAAGATCAACTGCTACGCTTGTCTTGTTTGTGGAAAATACTTTCAAGGTTTGTTTGACTTTTTATTTAATAAAACACCTTTTAATTAAATTCGTTTTAGGTCGAGGAATTGGCACGCACGCATACTTGCATTCAGTCTCATGTGGCCATCATGTATTTTTGAACCTGCAAACTCTCAAATTTTACTGCTTGCCTGACAATTACCAAATCATTGATTCTTCACTTGATGACATCATCTACGTTTTGAAACCCACTTTTACAGTAACTGAAATTAATGAGCTGGACAACAATAGCAAGCCCTCTATCGCATATGATGGCACATCATATCTACCCGGCATTGTTGGATTGAATAACATCAAGCAAAATGATTACTGTAACGTTATTCTCCAGGCACTGTCTCACGTGAAAGTTATTCGCAATTTCTTTCTGTTGGACAGTAACCTCGATGCATTCGGACAGAAAAGATCAGATTTGTTAGTGCAGCGATTTGGAGAACTTTTGCGGAAGTTGTGGAATCCGAAAAACTTTAAAGCACATGTTTCGCCTCATGAAATGCTTCAAGCAGTGGTTTTGTACTCTCAAAAGAAGTTTCAGATAACCCAGCAAGGTTTGTACAAACTTCATTTTACTGCTTTAATTTAAGCTAACTTTACTTTTTCAGGTGATCCAATATTGTTTCTCAATTGGTTTCTAGTTTCCCTTCACAAACACAAACACCTTGAAGTAAAAGGTCCTAAAGGCAGCTCTTCAATCATCCACAAGACGTTTTTAGGATCCATGAAAACGTACACTCGTAAAGTGATTCCAATTGATCGTTCCATCGAGGAGAAACTGGCTCTAATGGAAAGCAAAGAGTATGGAGAAAAGTGTGAAGAGGGCCAATTTCTGTATCTTACACTGGATCTTCCACCTACGCCTCTCTTTCGCGATGAAATGAGCGAGAACATTATTCCTCAAGTTCCTCTAAGCCATTTGCTTGCTAAGTTTGACGGAATAACCGAAAAAGAGTACAAAACGTACAAGGACTCTTTTCTCAAGCGCTTCGTTATTACCAAATTCCCGAAATATCTCATTCTGTACATCAAGCGGTTTAACCAGAACACGTTTTTTCTCGAGAAAAATCCCACTATTGTCAACTTTCCGGTAAAGAATGTCGACCTATCAGAGCTACTTGAGCCAGAGAGTCGAAAAGATCAAAATGCTTGCTACGATCTCATTGCAAACATTGTCCACGAAGGTGCGCCAGAGTCCGGCAAGGGCACCTATCGCATTCACCTTCTACATAAGGTAAGTGCGAAATGCCATAAAATATGTGCTTTCTCATAATTCATGTCACCTCAATGCAACTATATGCTCACACTCTTCCCCTTCTTTTCCACTTCAGGGAACTGGCAAGTGGTTTGAGATTCAAGATTTACATGTAAATGAAATACTGCCGCAGATGATTACCCTGTCAGAGTCGTACATACAAATCTGGGAACAATTGCCAAGTGTTGACTGAGGAGGGAGCAAAACCACCGCATGTATTTACAATTCACTCATCGTTTCTTCCATCGCCTTTGTCATACACTTACAGCTCAACTCTCATTCACAAGACTATTTACATCACTGTTTAACTTCGACACACTTTAGCTGCGTCTCTTGAAGTGATCACACAGGGCAGCAGGAGCCAATCGTGATGAGGTAAATAAACCGTTTATCGAAACGCATCAGGAGACATGTACACTTTTTTCCTACCGATTTGAGGGATGAGTAAGCGCCTGGAGGCGCGGCTGTCCAGCAATTAGCTTGGTCAACCACTCTGGCGCTATCCCCTTCTCTTCTTTTTGCCTTTATCTAAACTGCGATTGTCGCCTCGTTGAAGAGGTAGAAAGAGAGAGTCACAACCGTCTCGCAGCAGTCTCGTTCAGCTCTACCGCGGACATGCACACACAGCAGCATTTGTTTCCACTTTCTACTCTTCAGGTTGCCATCGTCAGTGCAACAGCAACAGTCGCCTCGCTGACTGACTTGGCCAATTCACTGCCAAGGTCACAGACTCGTGGATCGACTCGTTCCTTCTTTCTTCTTTTTCGTTTTCGCTAGAAAGCGCGCACGTTTCATATTTCCTAATAGTGAGTGAAGTTTCGATTGACAGTTAGCCTTCGGCGTCATTCGAAGTACATTCCAAGTGTCGTTCTTTTTTTCTTATTGCGCAGATAGACGGCAATTATCCTCCGTACGATTGTTAATTGATTTGGTGCAGTGTGCGCGCATGAATTTCTACTCGCAGTTCATCTGTTACTATTTTGTTTCTCGTGGCGGCGCACCCCCGCAGTTCGTGTCAACTGTTGGATCGACCCACTTTTTCATTCGTTTGTCTAGATAGAATTTGGTGCGCGGGCGCAGCCGATCAACTGAATCTGTGTCATCGAGCACGTGTGAGTGTGTCTGGTTGTGCTGGTGCTTTGCGCTGCCACGGCGAACTGCCCTCAATAAAGGTGCAGTGAGAGTGGATCGAAGTGCGCCCAGCACCGAGCGCAGCCACCCCAGCTAACCATCTGCCGTGTGTATCTTCTTCTCCCTTTCCTCCTTCTCCCTCTGCTCTTCTACACTGTCTGGCAGCACACTTCCCCACCAGTGCACCACTGCTTCAGGAGGTGGTAGTCAATGTACAGCAGCACACCGGTGTGAGTGTCTGGTGGCCGCCTGCGACGATGTTGCGCTCTGCTCAGTACAGTAGATCGGAGAGCAGTCAAAGAGCGCCCGACAACAGGCAATGTGCATGTTGATGCAATCACTCGACGCCACTGGCAACAGTCAACGAGAGAGGAGAATCGGTGATGTTATTGTCCGCCGATGACGCCTGCCGCCAAACACAACACTCAACCGCCGCTTCTTCTTCTCCGAAAGTCACCAGCACCAGCACCGTTGACATAAGCAAAGATATTGTCAAGTTGACAGACGTGTCCATCAAAGGCAGTGTGATCTAAAAGTAGTAGAGCACTGTTACAGTGTGTGTGAGCCAGTGTGCGCACTGCGACTATGTTTAGAAGTGTCTTCTCCAGCTCGTCGCAATATTTCTTTTATGACCAGAAGAGCAGCAGCAGCGGTGACCACAATTACCCGCAACGATGAGCTTCAACGACGACGACGGCGACGGCGCATTCATTTGCGATAATGAAAAATTTGAAAGGCTTCGCATCGGTCGGCTTCGAACAGACCGAGAGACAATTCAAGCGAAAACGTACAAGAATTGGATCAACTCAGTACTTATCAAGGTAAACCTATCTAGTTGCCTGGTAGTGTTCAAAATCAATGATTAATGCATTTTTACAGGCTCGAACCAGCATTGATGATATTTACACCGACCTTGCAGATGGACAGAAGTTACTTCTTCTATTGGAACTAATTACCGGCGAGAAAATTGCCGAACCGAGCAGGGGCTCCTCTGTCTTGCACAAAATTGAAAATGTCAGTCGGTGTTTGAAGTTTATCAGAAGTAAAGTAAGTGCGCGGTATCATTTTGATCTANGATTTACACCGACCTTGCAGATGGACAGAAGTTACTTCTTCTATTGGAACTAATTACCGGCGAGAAAATTGCTGAACCGAGCAGGGGCTCCTCTGTCTTGCACAAAATTGAAAATGTCAGTCGGTGTTTAAAGTTTATCAGAAGTAAAGTAAGTGCGCGGTATCATTTTGATCTGCTGTAAAGAAGCCAATAAAATTGAACTTGCTGTCCTTCCTCTCTAGGATGTGTACCTCGAAAGCATCGGCCCTGAGGACATTGTCAATGGCAACAAGCGCCTTACGTTGGGTCTCATTTGGACCATCATTCTTCGATTTCAACTCAGTCAACACCTCGATTTTGTTCAATTCGACCTAANACTGTAAAGGAGCCTATAAAATTGAAATTGCTGTCCTTCCTTTCTAGGATGTGTACCTCGAAAGCATCGGCCCTGAGGACATTGTCAATGGCAACAAGCGCCTTACGTTGGGTCTCATTTGGACAATCATTCTTCGATTTCAACTCAGTCAACACCTCGATTTTGTTCAATTCGACCTAAAGACAATCAAGGACTCGCTGTTGCTGTGGTGCCAGTCAAAAACGAGTAAATCGACCAAATGCAGAGTGCGCGATTTTAAGCGAAGTTGGAGTGACGGATGGGCTTTCGTTGAGCTTGTTCGATCCTTCCGTCCTGATCTCATTGACCCGGCGTCCATGTCAAAATGCAGCAGCGTCCAAATGCTCGACAAAGCCTTTGATGTGGCTAACCAGCACTTGATGATTCCAAGCATCCTCGACGCGGAAGACGTTGCCACGAGCGCCGACGAGAACTCCATTCTCACCTACATTTCCTACTTCTACAATCTTTACTGTAGAAACAAAACAACCGGAACAGGCAGCAAACGAATCAAGTTCATCATCACCCAGCTCAGCGAAGTGCAAAGTATTCAGAGCAGCTATGAAGCACAGGTCAGCGAGTTGATGGCGTGGATCAAGGAGAGAACAGCCCACTTTGCAAGTGACATTGACATCAACGAGGCACAGGAGAAGATGTCCCAATTTAATAATTACTTTTGGACGGAGCGGCCTGAAAAGTTAAAAGCACGAAACGACGCCGAAAGTCTGTATCTCGACATTGCCAACATGCATAAAAAGAGGGGATTGAGGCCGTTCGTCCCAAAGGCAAACTTGTCTGTGAAAGATCTCGAGAAAGCCTGGCAACACTTGGAGGAGGTTGAACGGAGACGGCAAAGTCAGCTGAAGGAAAAGATTGTCAAATATGAGCAGCTAACACAAGCGATGGACGAATTCGACTTGAAGTGTCTTAAACTTGAGAACTACATATCGGAGAAAATGGCTCTTCTGAATCAGATCTACGAATGGAAATCAACCGATTCCGACGACCAAAGCACCAATTTGTCCTCTCTTGAAGTGTATCTCAAGCAAAGTGAGCTTATTTGTTGTGATATTGTATCAAACAGTGCCAAGTTTGATTCAATTTTTAAACTTACCAACCAGTTAATTGAACACCGCTATAAAAACTACGAGTTTGTGAAAATGTGCTGTCGTCATTTAAAAGCAAAACTAAAAAATCTGACAGATATGGCTGTTAGAAATCAGCGAACAATCGATTCAACGACAAAAACCATTCATTATTTGAAGCGGTTAGACTGTGTCAAGGTGGAACTTGAGCAGTTGACTGCAAACCTCACTTTACTACCACACAACCGTACCGATTCAGTGCAAAACGTGTTTTCTAATTTAGAAAAGTGCAAACAATATGAAACTGAATTACGCCTTCTTGAGCGACAGTTTTTAGTTGTGCAAAGTCGCCTGTTTCTCCTCACCGACAACAACAACCACCAATCATCAGTACTAATAGAGCCAACTCTTTTTCAGCAACGCTTGAGCTTAATCAGAAGTTCACTCGACCAGTGTAGGCGGCTACTTGAGCAGCACATCACATCAAATCATCAGAATCTTGATTACAATGAGTTTAGTGAGGAAATCGAGTACTTGCAAATGTTTTTCAGTGAAAAAACCATCCTGTGTCAGTCATCGCTTGATGTGTGCTACGATTCAACAAGTATATTCTCCCTTCAACAGCGGCACAACATCATCAAACTTGAGGTGCGAACAGTGGAGAAGCAATTTTTTGCCGCCTGCGAAAAGGGCTACCGCCTGATGGCCAAGGCAAACTACTACAATCCGCTAGTTAACGAACCAATTGAGCAAACGAAGCTGTCACTTCGCCGGCTGATGCGCCTTGTCAACGAGCGAACGTATCTCATCAACGACAGCATTCAGCTGATTCGCCTTGTAGACCAGCTGGGAGAGATGCATCTGCTTAAGGGGGAAGACATCCACCAAACAGTGACCAACTGTCTGCGAGAGGCAGATGAAATGGGCCGACTTGAACTGACTGAACTCAGTGAACTTCTCGAGAGGATCAATGGTCTGTCAGTGAGTGCAGAGCACATCACTGAGCAGCATCACTGGGCAACCGGCACTACCGGCAGAACTGCCACCACCATCACCACCAGTACCAGCAGCAGCAACAGCGACAGCGACAGCAGTTCAGCGCCCATTCATCTGGTGCACCTGAAAGAGTACAGCCAGTCAGCCGTTNTCACCACCAGTACCAGCAGCAGCAACAGCGACAGCGACAGCAGTTCAGCGCCCATTCATCTGGTGCACCTGAAAGAGTACAGCCAGTCAGCCGTTGTAGTCGATCACCGTCACGCTTTCCTCGTGCTGCGACTGGAGCAGTCAGTGCACAGCCTGCCACATGACATACATTGCCGTCTGTTGCGAGTGGTTACCGATAATTTCCGCGCCGCACAGCAACTACTTACCGCTACGGCAGTCGACGTCGACGAAGACCGTCTCCGGCGTCTGCTGCTGCCCGAACGGAAAACACAGGCCGACAGTGCCGGCAATGATAACTGCCACCGGAATGATGATGATGAAGACGAAAGACTGCGTTCACTGCCGTCCACATGTGCCAACTT